GCAGAGATCTTCGGGACAGGGGCATCTTCTGACTCCTGTGTATCTGCTCAACACAACAATAAAAGATTAACATTATTACCAGCTCTGTCTTTCAGTGGCACCCTTCATTCTGTCCGGTGCCTTTTCCATGTGTAGTAGGCGTCTTAGTAACTGCTCTTGTGCCTCTGCCAGCACAGTAGATCACACTAATTTAATCCAACAAGATGTGTGCCTAGTAAGGATGGACTGGAATAAACGGCTCAGGACTCATCCTTAATTTGCCATTGACTTCTGTGCAGGGGCATGCGTGGGGGCAAGCAGTGGCACAAGTGGGTGTATCACAGGGTCCCCACATGCTTTCTGAAAATTAGCATTTGTATATGAATATACATAACTCAAAGATGCTTTATGCAAAACTGGTCATGTAACATTTCAACTTTACAGTTACAATCTGTTGAATGTGTATATCCTATTTGTGTGCATGTATCATTCTTGTATAGGAAGTTAGAAATACGAAGTGTGACTCTATTTATAATCCCAAATCCTATAATCTGTGATTCAACCCCTCAAAGGAGAACAGATCTTCTCCCGCCCAGAGGCAGCAAATATTGGGCTCCTGCTGGAAAAACTCCTCCCAGGGCCAGGTGGGGAGGGGCAGAGCTGTCTCCTACCTGGCATACACCCCCACTGGACCCTAAAAGCAATGACTGAGTAGCAGACCAAGTAAGAACTCTGGGACTTAGTTCTATTGTAATGGGTCCTCTCAGAAGAGCAGCTAGATGGTCAGCCAGAGTCTTCTCTCTCACATTGCTGTAAATCCAGCCTTGACAGGAGTCACTGGCATCCAGGTCTGGTGCACAGCCTGTGCCACTGGTACAAGACTACACAGCTCTGCTAGTAAATCTCTGCAGAGAAGCAGATGAAACTGTTGCAAATTTTTCTGAGATTTATTGGGTTTGTGGATTAGGGAAGAACGAATTAGCTCAATTTAACTGTATGTCCAATTATTCATTTTAATGTAAATTATTGCTATAATCAAATCTACACTGATCATCTATCGATCAATCTATCTTATCACCACAGTATCTGAGTTGTCCACTTTATAGCGCATGGCTTTAAACACTGAATTAATCTTATCATTTTACTAATAGTGCTCCCGATAGACTGTTATAAGGAAAATCTGGCGTATATTAAGGCAACATACAATTGCATATATAACAAAGATAACTATTTTCTATATAAATTAGGGTTATAGAAGTTTTTTAGATGCAAAATATTTTGTTCAGAAACAAGTCATGTTGGAATAAATGCATTTCAAGTCCAGCTTCAGCATCGTCCAACATGGATTGGTTTTGGACGAATTTGGATAATAAACTGGATAGAAGGGTGTTCCATTTTTCTTATACATAAAGAAACTATATCAAATGGGCGAACAGGAAAACTTTACCTCACTCTTCACAAATACATGCCAGGTTTTTTTTAGACTGATCTCCATGGAAGATGGAAAAAAGGCATCAGAGATCAAATGGTTATAAATTCTGGTTTTTTCAAATACATCATATCTAACATATGATACTGTGGACTCTTCAGTATATAAGTAGTCTGATTGTACGTAATGGACATGCTGCATCTTTATATTGTGATAAATATTGTGATAGCCTGTGAATCAAAGATACAAAAGTACAATGGTAACATATGATTTACTTACTGTGGATCCAAAGAGTACCTGGTCAAATCCTGCTCAGCACAGATCTGTCTCCCAGCTAGTCTTCTAGTGAAGTTCCACTCACAATGACAGTATGTGTCTTGACTTCCAGCTTCTTTTATACCTGCTTAGAAACCACACAGACAATAGCTATGAGCTGTACAGTACCTTCTATGACTAAGATCTTTCCTCTCATATCAGTTAAATCAATGGGCTTCATATTTCCAAAGACAAAACATCTTGGATGATAAAGTCTGCTGTGCTTTTGGTGATTAAGGAAAAGACTTACACTATGTCAGTGACATTTCATCGCTTTGCTATCCTCCCAGACCAATCAGTAGAACTCTAAATTGGTGAAGTAGGTGTCTGGATTAACAATAATGTTGAAAGATACTGAGGAGGATGACAAAGGTGGTAAAAAAGGACAGGTATTTATGGAAAATGTATCTGAGACACTTGGAAATATGGATGCCACTGGACTTTAATGTTCAATAAGAAAAATTTTGGTTAAGCCTATTGGTTGTTCAGTGAAACACATTGGTTTATTTTGGATCCTATCAATTAAGTAGATATGAAAAAACTAGCAGATCATTGAATTCATAGTGCCACAAAAAATGTTACAGTGTCCCAAGAAAGCCTGTATTAGATATGTGATAGAAATGTAGCTGTGTTAGTCTGCGGTAGCTGAAACAAAAAACAGGACTAACAAGATGGTTTAATAGGTGATGAGCTTTCATGGGCCAGACCCACTTCCTCAGATCAAATAGTGGAAGAAAATTGTCACAACCATATGTACCAAATGTGTTCATTTTTTTTAATTGTATCCTTTGGTATATATGGTTGTGACGATTTTCTTCCACTATTTGATCTGAGGAAGTGGGTCTGGCCCACGAAAGCTCATCACCTAATAAACCATCTTGTTAGTCTTTGAAGTGCTGCATAGTCCTGTCTTTTGTATTAGATATGAAAGTGATGGAGCACCAGATATTGCACAAGGGCAAATTCTGATGTTTCTTCCAGCCAATGGTCAAAACTAAACACGGGAATGTGGTATGAATTTTGGCACACAGGAACCACAAGGCCAGGAAAATGTGTGCCTGTGAGTGATTTCACCAAACACTGGCAGCCAGAACTGGCCCATTGATCCTGCCTGTTAGCAGCACTCAGGTATGGCAAAGGTGCAGCACAGATGGCTTGAACAGCCAGCTGGGCATTCCCATAGCACGATTCTGTGCACATGACATACAGATACTCCTCTGCCCCAGTTTACAGGGTGTAAACAAGGTGTGTTGGGGGAAAGGCGCTATGGGTATGTCTACACTACAACGTTAATTCGAACTAACAGACGTTAGTTCGAATTAACTTTGATAGGGGCTACACTAGCGCTCCGCTAGTTCAAACTTAATTGGAACTAGCGGAGCGCTTAATTCGAACTAGGTAAACCTCATTGCACGAGGACTAATGCCTAGTTCGAATTAGCTAGTTTGAATTAAGGGCTGTGTAGCCACTTAATTCGAACTAGTGGGAGGCTAGCCCTCCCCAGCTTGGCCTGGTGGCCACTCTGGGCACCACCAGGGAAACTCATCTGCCCCCCTTCTGGCCCCGGAGCCCTTAAAGGGGCACAGTCTGGATACGGTGCCCGTGCCAGGTGCAAGCCTGCCAGCACCCAGCCAGCAGACCCTGCACCTGGCACGGCATGAGCCAGCCACC